GTTGCTTCTTGTCCTGCTTTCAGGAGCTTTGAAAAATAACTTGACTCCCTCTTCTTTGTGGCAGCCCCTGAGATATTGGAACACTGCTATCATGTCCCCCCTCGTCCTTCTCTTCATTAAACTAGACATACCCAATTCCAGCGGCCGTTCCTTATATGCTTTAGCCTCCAGTCCCCTAATCATCTTTGTTGCTCTTCTCTGTACTCTTTCTAGAGTCTCAACATCTTTTTTACATCGCGGTGACCAAAACTGGATGCAGTATTCCAAGTGTGGCCTTACCAAGGCATTGTAAAGTGGTAACACTTCATGTGATCTTGATTCTATCCCTCTGTTAATGCAGCCTAGCACTGTGTTGGCCTAATGTTGTCCCTGCTTCTTCAGAAATGTCTTCAGTTCACTATGTCCTCACCAAAACTCCAAGTTGAACAACAGTTCAAACAGCTGAAGTATAAAGTGGTTGCTGATCAGTTACTTATTTGTGATCTTCCTTTTCTGTTTTTGTTTTTCTAGGCATTGAAAGTATTGGTGGGTGCTGGGAATTGCGAACTGCTTGGTACCAGTGGGAAATCATACCCTCTGAATCATTCAGATGCTCAGATGATGCGGGAAATTTTTGCCAGCATTGGTTCTGCTTCCAGCAAAGAATCTGATAATTTACTATGTGTAATTTGTACTGCTATTGAGAAGATGTTGGCTACACCTGGGTAAGATGAAAATTAAATCTTGATGAAATAAAGGAGCATAACTAAATTTAAGGAATTTACATTAAACAAGGATAAGGAGAGGATATTGAGAATTCACTTTTTTTTCCTCTTGTGGGGAGAATTTGGTTGATGTCTTATTTTGATAAGTTTTCTGTCCTCTACCTTGAGATTGGAGGCAATCTGACATTAATAGTATTACTGTTTATTTCAAAACACATAATCATTTCTTAGAACTGAATAGCATTATTAATTGTTTAGTGTTGGAATATTATGCATTCCAATAATTTTTCCTTCCACATCCTCCAGCATTACCTCAGTTGCTTATGCCAACCATTCCTCCTTTCCTCAGAGCCTCATCGGCAGTGCAGAATGGGCTGCTGGTATTAAACATGCTGATCAACAATCACAAGGGCCTGGCAGAACAGTTGGGAAGCTGTGACCTCCGGTCGGTCCTACAGAATTGTTGCCAAACAGGCCAGGGCTCCAATGAGATGCTAGCTCGAATAGTGCTCAATCGTTTGGCTGAGCATAAATTGCCCTTGAGCCAGGAGAACGCAGGTACAGATTACCTTTAAGTTCACAGTTGCTTACCTTTGCCCTTTTGGCATTTTACTTCGTAAATGTGTAATGGCTTGTTTTATTTCCATTAGGCTTTGTGTAAGGACCTACCTCAGCTAAGCCACCCAAGAAAGCAGAACTCTTGAAACGGGCATTGTCTCAAAAGGAGCTTTTATTAGGGGCTAGTGACAGCAGGGAATCAAGGCGAGATCTGAGAGAAAAACCCGTGAAGCAATACATTAAAAGCAACATTCAATACTCCTCTCCCCCCCCCCCTCCAGGGTCCCAGTGTTCATTTGAATCCCAGCCAATCCACAGCTGGCATGGTGTTTTGGTAGCTGGTCTCGGAGGGCTCCTCAAGGTCTTTCTCACTTTCAATTTCTTCTGGCTCCAAGTGCAAACCATCTTTCAGATAAGGGAGAGACATTCCATCCCCTGGGGCAGGGGTAGGCAACCTTGGCTCTTTTATGACTCGTGGACTTCAACGCCCAGAATTCCTGAGCCAGCTATGTTGAAGTCCACGAGTCATAAAAGAGCCAAGGTTGCCTACCCCTGCCCTGGGGGAAGGGCATCGTAGCAGACAGTGCAAAGCAATCCCAAAAGCTCCCCCCTCCCAACAGAATGGCAGGCCACAAAGAAAGGCTACAGAAAGGTAGAAAATAGGCATGAGGTTAAAATACATTTCTTCGGGGACCTGACACTTTGCTTCATAGGATGCCCTGTTTTGAAGACCTAATAAAGTTTACCTCTCCTTTATGTTGGAAAGGATTGGCCAAGCATGCAGTCATTTTCTTATTCTTCTATATCACTGTGTCTTTCTAATTACCCATAGGCTTCCTTTTAATAGCAAATCACAGGAGATGATTTTCACTTGCTACTTTTTGGTTCTTGGAAGGTCCAAAATTAACTATCCCCCAATGCTGCTGGTGAAGATGCCCTACCTCGTGGCCACTTATGGAGGGCATGATTAGCAGCTGTTTTTTTTCTCCATAGCCTATTTCAGGAAATTCTGTTTTGACATAGAGAGATCATCTCCTTCTCTCCCCTTTTCTGTCTAGAATCTGAAGCTTCCTTTGAGTTCAAAGACATGGATGTACCAACGCTGCTGAAAAACCTGCATGAAGCCAGCTTTTCAAAAGAAGTAGTGCTAGCACTGGAGCACTGCCTTTGTGATAAAGGTGTTTACCCTGAGAGAAATGGAGTGGACGTTTTGCCAGATCATGAGCATTTCTTGCTGCTGTTGAAAACCCTAGAACAGTTGGGAGCTGAAAAGGCTGTCCAGATGGCCATGCTGAGGTAGAATGGTGATGTATTTTACCATCATGGAATGTGGAAGATACTTTTAGAAGAGTATTTGGATTCAGAGAGAGTGGGGTGGTTTGAATAGTGCTTTCTTGGGTGGCAAATAAATTTTATGAATGAATTTGAAACTCTTTACCTCCATCCCCATCATTGTGCCGGGAATTCCATATTTTCAGGCCCAATGCCTTTATCAATCAAGAAACATGCGATAAATTTTCTTTTTCACATTCATGCTTTTCTTACGGTATGGGTATGGGAAGGGGTGGGAATAAGGGATTGAGGATAGGGTAGGGGAAGGTACAATAATGGGGTTACCCCCAATAATAATCTCATGCTTTAACAAGCAAACTATCGTCCGGGTATACATATTGAGTAAACATAGTTTATATAATACTAAACAATTATAACGAGTAGAGTTGGCTATAATCATATAATTAGAAATTAATAAGTAAATACAATTCCTCTAGGTAGATAACCTTAATTAATAAAATATCAACTAATTCTGACTGTCGCCACTAGTATTTAAAATCACTAATAATAACGCTATTATTAAGATAGAAGATAAAGCTTAGTAAAAAACCTAAAATCATATATTCTATTTAATTTCAAGCTCTTTTCTCATTCTGTCGTATTTCTAACCATTGATAAAAAATTTTCCCAAGTTTTAAAGTAAATTGGTGCTTTCTTAAGGTGGGGCAACTCAGTCTTCTGGATAGGTTAGCACAGAAGCTGTGAAGTAGGTAATTTATCTGTAAATAATGTAACTTGCTGACCTGTATCACCACAAATCAGTCCGTACAAGAAAATGGCTTGAGGCTTGTGTGTGCCATAAGCTTAGGAAATGGAACACTGCAGACAATTGTTTGAAATGGGAATAATTTATTGTTATAAATTTTGGGACACTGCACTACAACTATATGGGGCAATTATCTTTACTCTTTTCTTTTGCTCTCTATCACTAGAGCAGGGGTAGTCAACCTTGGCTCTTTTATGACTCGTGGACTTCAACTCCCAGAATTCCTGAGCCAGCACAGCTGGCTCAGGAATTCTGGGAGTTGAAGTCCACGAGTCATAAAAGAGCCAAGGTTGACTACCCCTGCACTAGAGGCTTAGAATTGTAGGAATTGCAAGTCCTAAAACGGCACTGAGGTGAGTGAAATTCCTGCAGCCTTTGGGACTGTTTGTGAAAGAACTGAACCACAACACAGAAACAGCTTTGTGATCAAAACCATAAAAATGAATATTTGGCATCGGGCAGTACGGAAAACGTTTGTTGCTAGAGTTGGGCCTGTAGAGAATGCGATTCATCCCAAATGGTATTGGAGCACCTTAAATTGATGAGAAAAAGAATTGTATTCTTTTTGCAAAAAAAGTGTTAATGAAATACATGTACAGTAGAAACTTGATTTTTATTACATAGTTTAAATATACAGTTATTAAAATAGTTCAGACGGTCAGCTTAAGACACTGAACTCAAGATGTTGTTGTTCTTAAATTGAATTCTGCATTTATAACAAGTACCTTCTCTTTGCAGGATTTTGAATAAATTTTTGGATATTTCCCAAGAGGATGCATTGCCCTGGCATGAGTGCATTGAGCCTTGTCTGTCCTCAATGAGTACCCACAATAATGAACGGGAGGTAAGGGATCAATTGCAACATAAATTGAAAAAGAGATTAATGAGAGGCATTTGAAGAAGGTATGAAAAATATTAGTGAGCTTGTTGACCAAATTGCAGATTCTTAATTCAAGCCAGATGTAGTTGGCAAAAAGCATTTTTCATCCCTGCTGGCAAATATATATTACTAGTAATTAAAATTTGGATTAAGTAAAATTTGGATTGAAAATCAGATAGAATTGAGTCAGGAAGTCAAAAGCATATACAAGTAGTCCTTGACTTACAACCACAATTGAGCCCATAATTTCTGTTGCTAAGTGAGACATTTGTTAGGTGAATTTTGCTCCATTTTATTACCTTTCTTGCCAGAGTTGTTAAGTGAATCACTGCAGTTTTTAAGTTAGTCAAATGGTTGTTAAGTGTCTGGCTTCCCCATTGACCTTGTTTGTCAGAAAGTGGCAGAAGGTGATCACATGACCTGGGGACTCTGCAACTGTCATAAATATGAATCAGTTGCCAAGCATCTGAATTTGATCATAAAGATGCTGCAGTGGTTATAAATGTGAAAAATGATCATAAGTCACTTTTTTCAGTGCCGTTGTAACTTTGAATGGTCAGTAGATGAACTATTGTAAGTCAAGGACTACCTGTAGGTATATTTGCAGGTACAGAACAGGCATAGCTAAGTTCTTAGCAGTCTAGCCAGAGTGATAGAGGTTTCCCATGAGATCCATAAATAGGTGTTGTCTTTGCCATGAAAATTTGCTAATTTTCCAACAGTAATAATTTCTTTCCAGTTTCTCCTTGAAATACTTTCAGAATGGTCAAATTAACTGGTTTTATGTTCAGAACTGCTCAAATTTGATCCCCTTAGGAAAAACTAAAAAACTACTTTTCAAATGGCAGTTGATTACTGGCAAGAACGTCTTCCTACGCCTTTAAGTAGGCTCTACAGATGTTACTTGAACGTTAAATTCTTATTGTGGCTAAGTAGCAATAGCACTTAGACTTATATACCGCTTCACAGTGCTTTACAGCCCTCTCTAAGCGGTTTACAGAGTCAGCCTATTGCCCCCAACAATCTGGATCCTCCTTTTACCGACCTCGGAAGGATGGAAGGCAAAGTCAACCTTGAGCCGGTCAGAATCGAACTGTAGAACTGTTGGCAGTCAGCAGAATTAGCCTCTAGTACTGCATTTTAACCACTGTGCCACCAGGTCATAGAGTGTATACCTAGATTTTATGTCTTTATAAGTGGTAAAGAGAAAAAAATGTAGAGATTGCACGGTACAGTCACTGATAGCATGTGACCCACAACGTGTTTTAAAAGAGTTAAATTGTCCATTGAGCTGAAATAGGTATCATACCCCTGATACATGGGTTGATCAGGCGTTCCTGAAGATACATCTAAGAAGGGTTGTAATCCCCTGGAAGATACGGCTGGTGATGAGGGATAAAAGAAAATACAGATGGAAAGGGGAACTGGCTTGTCAAAAACTATTTTTCTATACCCTTCCTGCTGAGATTTTATTACGTTTCTGTCAACAGGTTGTGCAGGAGTTCATCCGTTTCCTGCATCGTTTAGCTACCACCAACAAAGATTGTGCTGTTGTGATGTGTCGTGTAGGCACAAAGGAAGCTCTGACCAAAGCTATGGACAAGCACAACTCCAACCTGCTATTGGTGACAGAATTGCGGGACCTTGTGACTGACTGTGAGAAATATGCTAGCCTTTATAAGAAGATGACAACCAGTATCCTGGCTGGTTGCATTCAGGTAACTTTGACCTTTTCTGTGTAGCTGGTTAAGGTAGCTGGCCTTAGGAACAGGTAGACAACGAGTATCAACAGAGTGGTCAGATAGTCTGTAATAAATAAGAGCAGCCCAAACAGTCAAGAGCTAAACTTGGTCAAAAATATCTTTCTTAAGATTATGAGATTCAGTTCTCTGTTCTTGTAAAGGAATAAGCAACTTTCTGACCCTCGTATGAGTTTTTTTTTTGGGGGGGGGGGCTGAATATGATTCAGTGCTGTATACAGATGTTGATAGGACAGAGAAGCTTAATAAATTCTGTTCTGTGGAACAGCTTGCATTATAGAATCAATAGATTTAAGAATAAAAGCTTTTCTTTAACTAAATCTTAAGTTTTATTAATGAATATGTTCTGCTATCTACTTTGTTTATAAAGATGGTTCTGGGACAGATAGAGGAACATAGACGAAGTCACCAGCCTATTAATATCCCCTTTTTTGATGTTTTCTTGCGCAACCTTTGCCAAGGTAAATGATTTACAACACTCTTTGGAATCTAAAAATTGGAGGATTCATGCACAGATCTGCTGTAAAAGGAATAATTGTCTGTCTGTCTCTGTCTTCCTCCCTCCCTCTCCCTCTCCTTCGCGCTCTCTCCTCCCTCCTCCCTCCCTAGGTTCTAATGTAGAGGTGAAGGAAGACAAGTGTTGGGAGAGGATAGAAGTCTCTTCTAATCCACATAGAGCCAGTAAACTGACTGACAAAAATCCAAAGACATATTGGGAGTCTAATGGTAGCACAGGTTCCCATTACATCAATGTCTACATGCATCGTGGAGTGGTAGTCAGGTAAGTCCCAATGGACGCAATTAGCTAATTAGCTTTGAGAGTTTCTAGGCAGCAGGGTGAGAGCGAGCTTTACGATTAAATGTGAATTCAGCAGATAGTTGATCAAAGTCATGAAATTATGTGCAATAGTTATTGGGAATTCTTCATTAGGCAAAATGATAAATAAAGCAAAAGGGAGGAGAGGCAGATAAGTCTGCATTTAAATTCAGTATGGTGGATTGTGAGATTAGCAGATAGCAGACGATGAAATAATTTCTCACAATGACTTTTGAAATGAAAAAGCAAATTAAAAATGTTCTCTTCCCTTTTTTTTTTTTGCAAATTGCTCTGTTTGTAAAAATGCAATATCATACATTTAACTGTAAAATGCCCTAGTAAAGTATTGCCCTGATTTGGATTAGTTACATTTGGGTGTGTGTGTGTGTGTGTGTGTGTGTGGATATGGTTTTGTATATGTATGTCTGCATGTCAATATTTATGTCTATATAGTAAGTTCTTTGAGAGAAAGGAATAGATTTGGAACTATTTCATGAAATACTTTTAGTTACCCAGGCAGACTTTATCTCATGCTTTAGTGAGTATGCCAGGATGCATCCAAAATCTGACATAGATACAAAGAAACCACTTTTCTTTTCTTTTTTGCTGCAGACAGATGACTTTAATAGTAGCTAGTGAGGATTCCAGCTACATGCCAGCTCGGATTGTCCTGATCGGACGAGAGAACGGATCTAGCGTCACTAGTGAGCTCAATACTGTGAGTGCTTCATTTTTTTCTCTCTAAAGCCAGTCTACTTTTAGAAACCTTCAGTAAGGAAGGTTTCTGCTATATTGCTAACATACAGTCAGGGTTCATAGACCTACAAAGAATATGTGTTTGTTTTTGAGCTGTCCATCCTTGATTTGATATCCCGTTGGAAACTTGCCATTTCTCAAATTATCCATGCTCCATTCTCTGATACAATTTAATTAATTTACTCTGTTGAGGCGCCACACAACTCCAAATGACTCTGGTGTCTCACAATGTAAAAGAAAGATAAAATGCAATTGCAATTAAATATAAAGCCAATACAACATTAACTAAAAAAATCAGATAAAGAACAAGATGATGATTCTGATCAATAACAAAACTAATGAGGGGCTTTAGGTCTGGGAAAAAAGGTCTGGGAAAGAAGACAGGTCTTCAAGGCCCCCCAAAATGCTTTCAGTGTAGGAGCCACTTAGATGGTAAGGGGAATTGCATTCCAGAGGGCATATGTTAATGCTAGGGCTCAGAGGATAGGATTTACAAATACAACTGAAGAGATATTGGTGGTAGAGAAGATTTAATCAGACGCGTTTTGTACGGTTTTTGTTCTAAGCTGCCTTCAAAAAAATTGAGAGAAAGCTCCCAGTTCTTGACTAAAGGAATATTCTTCTGTTGATAATGGATGATGTTCTTCCTGTCCCTAAAACTTCAGTTGAATGGAGAAGGATTCTTTGATTTTATATTTACAAACTTTCTCACTTCAGACTTAAAGGAGTACCCTCTTCTTGCTAGATGCATTTATGCTGTTCTTATAGGGTGAGCATATATAACCAACCATACCTTTATCTACAGTAGTGGCCAAAATTTTGGAAACCTTTTGGGAAAAGTGTATTTTTGAGGTTTGATGGCTAATAACACCACTTTTTTTTGGAGTAGTATCATAAAATTATATATCAATGGAAAGATAATCAAGAATGTAATGCAACATAGTTTGTTCAATTATCTGTACTGAATTCTATGAAAAGTTATAGCCAAATAACCAGAAAAAGGAAGCACAACTTGCTTAGGTTGATATCAGGTAGCTTTCCTTCATCTGATTGTAGCCAACGAGCATGAGTGTTTAGAGAGCCAATCTGGTGTCATCTTGTTTTGGCAATGAGCCAATCAGATCACAGTAGGATTTAGTTATTGATGTCATGTATTGAAGCTGAGAGGAGGACATTTGTCAATGTGTTATGTGATCGCTATCAAGTTGGTTGGGTTTTTTTGTGTTCTTTCATTTAGTGAGCTTGTAAAATGTAATAAAATTAAAGTAATGGTGCAAAGAGTTGACTGGTTGCCCAGAAAGCGATGTAAAATAGTATTATTAAGTGAACAAGGCTACAGTTATAAAGAAATTAAAAGAAAAATTGGTGGAAACTTAACCAAAGGTGGCATTTCTACTGTACACTTTTCCCAAAAGGTTTCCACAATTTTGGCCACTACTGTATGTGGTGGAGAAAAGCATTACATTAGTTCATTACATCTGTAGAAAGCACATACTTGATTTGTGGATTTCTTCGGCTCCGAAAAGCAGGTTGCTGCCTCCATTTGCATTTCTTGCTGAGACTTTGGCTCTTTTTCTAACAGGTGAATGTCCTACCTACAGCTAATCGGATAGTTCTTCTGGAGAATATGGCCCGCTTCTGGCCAGTTATACAGATCAAAATTAAGCGCTGTCAACAGGTAAGTCTGAATGTTGTTTCTTGAAACAAAACAAAGACTAAAGAGCTGTGCTTGACCACCCCAATAGTTTTTGACACATTGCTATAAATTCGTCATCAAAATACTTCTTTCCTCAGATTAATAAGACTTTTCATAAGTGTTTCATTTGTTATGTTTCTTAGAGAAAATAGATTCATTGATTACGTGAATTATAATTGCACGAGTGCTTGAGAAGATATAAGTGGTAAACTTAGCTATACAACATGATGGATGATAAATTCCTTTCAGTTTAATGATTTATACTGCCTTTTTGAATGGAATTTTATTTTTGTTGGCTATTTTTTTCTTTGAAAAAATTGACGACCTGGCATTCTTTTTTTGCACAGTTCATAATAAGATAATTGGTTTTGAAAGCATAGTATCTGCCCTCCTGCAAAAAAAGTTATTTCAATTTTCCAATTGATAGAATACTGGAATTTTTTTGTTAGTAATATGAGAAGCATTGTTCAGCTGTAAAAATTGAATGCTCTACAAATTAAATAGAAATATCTTTGAAAAGAACCTGCATATTAGACAGAGAGTTACTTGAAAAATATTTCCCTATTGGAGAAAACTATGTTATTTACAGGGTGGCATTGACACACGAGTGCGTGGCCTTGAGGTGCTGGGTCCCAAGCCCACTTTCTGGCCCATCTTCAAAGAACAGCTGTGCCGACGTACATATCTCTTTTATACCACCAAAGCACACACCTGGTGCCAGGAAATCTTAGAAGATCGGATGCAGCTGCTGCAACTTTTCAACAGGTCAGATCTTTTCTGATATAATTCTTTTATCCTTTTCTCAGGGCTGCAAATGGGGAGATGTTCCAGGGACCAGAGCTGATTTTTGCAGATCAAAAAAACGAGCACTGCTATAGGCCATTCCTATATTCTCTGCTATATTCCTAAGATACCCTTGTTCCTACTTGTTAAATATGTGTCAGCCCTTCAAGTTAGATCAAAATAGGACACCAAGTTATGAATGCTGCTGTTCTTAAAAGGTTACAGTGACAGAATCATGTAAAGTCTGAATGCTCTTTCTTCTTCCCTCTATCTTTATGACACTTTCTGAAATTAAATTACTGCCGTAAACCTAGATTTTGTTCATCTGACTTTTTGCCTTGCTTGCTGCTCCATGCATTATTATGGCTCACCACCCAGTCAGCCAGTTGTTTAGACTGGATTTGACATTCTTGTTCATGTATTAAGTCCTTCCCAAGGACTCAAGGGATAGGCAGATGCTATTATTAATATTAATAATTTGATTTGATTTATATGATCACCCGTCTCACCTAAGTGACTTTGGGTGACTCACAATAGATAAGCAGTGTATCGTGGTATCTAAGTTTCTGCCTCCTCACCATATCCCCCCCCTTTTTTTTACATTATGAAATTTATTTGTTCCAATCCAAATAAGCTGCATCTTTTTTCCTACTGTAGATTGAACAGTGCCTTGCGCCATGAGCAAGTATTTGCCAATCGCTTCCTTCCTGATGATGAGGCTGCCCAGGCTCTAGGCAAGACCTGTTGGGACGCCCTGATTACTCCCTTGGTGCAGAGTATCACCTCTCCAGGTACTAGATGCTTCCTTGCCCAGATCTTTTGATGACCGGTCTTGCCTATCCCTTCCCTTCCCAAGCAGATGTGTTAACTGTCTTTCTCTCTTTCCAGACTCTAGTGGCATAAGCCCCATGTCATGGTTACTAACTCAGTACTTGGAAAATCTGGATGCAGCCAGGAGTTCCATGAGCCGAGCTTCCATCTTTAATTCCCGTGTTCGGCGCCTGAGCCACTTGCTAGTGCACGTGGATTCTGCCGGCCCTGAACTTGAGGAGCTGAAGCCTCCTATTAAAACCAGTGAGTGTCCTTCTTTGGAGCAAATAAGTGAAAAAAGGTCAAGTCCTTCTTCCAGTATTGACAGAATGGTAACAAAAGGGCACCTCCTTGGATATATTATATGACAAGAACAAGATCATCTGTAAGACTATGCTGTAAAGATTGACGGCATGGAATTATTGACTGGAGAAAAGTTCTAAAGGATTTGGGAAGTTGGAGACAGGTATTTGAGGACTCGAGTAGCTCTCTATCCCAGAAATCTTCCTTGTTACAGACTGAGAGGGGAAATAATGTAAAATATTGTCTTCTATTTTATTTTCTTTCTATTTTGAATTTAACAGAATGCAAAGAATATGTTAAAACCTGTATCTTTGGGGAGACTTGCTTTTTTCATATCAAATACCTTGACTATAGCCAAAAATCTGAAATTATCTAGTGTCTAAAAACCCACTTTTCTAATGGGGATAATTTTAAAGGTGCACTGAGTTTCCATTTGTTTTACAGTTGTATAAATGGAATTATTTGGAACAGACCTTTTGGGAAACAGTGGTAGAATTCCACCTGTTCAGGAGAGTCAGTTTGTCAGGTGCTTTACAGATTGTTGTTGTGTCATACTAAAAATTAGGGATTTGTAATGCTCTCTGATGTTGTGTAACATGCAATTTGCAGATGGGAAGAATGGTAAGAACAAGGAGTCAAGCTCAGGAGTTCTCAAGCCAGCAGTGAATAAACCCTGTGGGATGACAGGCATCACACAATGCTGGAAAGGTGTAGTGCAGCAGCAGGTAAGGATGGCTGAAAGGTGGTGTCCAGCAGCAAGAGGACGAATGCATGCATCAAGCAGGGAATCGTGACATTAATGCAGACTTTTGGGTCTTTGTATTGATATCTTCTATCATAAGCTATCGGCCAGTTCATCATGCATGCTTCTTTATAATTCATGGTACAAGTTAAAGCATCTTAGAGAACTGTGTTAGGAGCTCTGAGGCTTCAAAGAAATGTGAAATTAAGCTCTCAGTGAAAAGAGTGTGTCTATTCCAGGGGTAGGCAACCTTGGCTCTTTTATGACTCGTGGACTTCAACTCCCAGAATTCCTGAGCCAGCCAGGAAGGTTGCCTACCCCTGGTCTATTCCAACTTTGTTATCTGCTAAGCTAGGTAGAGTTTATTATTGAATTCCCAGCATATGATTTGCCTCCTGGTTGCTTTTAGGCAATTATTTATACCAATAAACAAACAATTATGTAAAATCTTTAGGTGGAACATCTTGAATGTTCCAAAATAACAATTGGGCATGAAATTTGCTTGACTTCAATGAAGAATTGTTAAGCTTCCTCGGGTGTGATCCCATTGAGCTAGATAAAAAGGTTGAGATGTTGCCTGTGCCTCTTCTCTGTTGTCCAGGTGAAATGTTTCCTGGAGTCCTCCTGGCAGGCCCCTGATTTCGTGGAACGATATTGCAGAACCTACCAGCGCCTCCGTACTGCCATGGAGGAGCTTTTTGGACAGCAGATCTCCTTCATGCTGGCCTTGTGCCACGGTTTCTCCGGAGGCTTGTTGCAGCTCTCCTTCCTGACAGCCATGCATGTAAGTCAGAGATCAAGTAGACATGTCCATAAAACAGAGATGTACAAGTTGAGACCCCAAATTTTCACTCCAAAAAAATTACCCGAGACTTCCAAAAGTAGTTATTACATTGTAATTGTTAATGGAATGGAAAGAAATATATATCAAATAAATGTTTGGCACGTATCATGCTAACATATGTTAACCTGATTTCCAGGTGAGTGAGCAATTTGCCCGTTACATTGACCGGTGGATCCAACAGAGCTGGGCAGATTCGGGTAATGTGGAGACCTTTCAGTGCCTACAGCAGAGCCTGGAACCCATCATCTTCCTAGCAAATCTGGAGTTGGCCAACACTTTTGAGCGATTCTACCGGTGAGGCTTTTGTGGAGAGGAGGAAAGAAAGGAAAGATGAATATACTGCTTGTACTAACAGAGTAGACAGGTCTCAGGTAGGAAGCTTTTTGGCAGTAATGATAAAGCATCTTGCTGATCCTTCAATCTGGATGAAGACGTCTTCAAGAACATACATATGGCTCTGTTTTAAGGAGTACAGGTAGTTCTCAACTTACAACCATTTGTTTGGTGACCATTCAAAGTTACAACAGCACTGAAAAAGTGTCTTATGAGCGTTTTTCACACTTATGACCATTGCTGCATTCCCATGGTCATGTGATCAAAATTTGGACACTTGGCAACTGGCATGTATTTATGATAGTTGCAGTGTCCCAGGGGCATATGTGATCCCTTTTTGTGACCTTCTGACAAGCAAAGTCAATGGTGAAGCCAAATTCAGTTAATAGTTAATAAAAGTTAAACCACATAACAACTGAAGTGATTCACTTAACAACTGTGGCAAGATGTAAAATGGGACAGAACTCACTTAACAACTGTCTTGCTTAGCAACATAAACTTTGGGCTCAATTGTGATTGTAAGCTGAGGACTACTGTACTTTGAAGGGCCTTGGGTCCTTTTTAATGAATCAAATAAGCCTATATCTCCAGGCACACTGTAGGGACTGTGAGAATAAGCGTGGCTTATGGATGACCCTTGTTTTGAATTTCACCTTGAACACCTTGCCTCTCCAGATACTACCTAGGAGATCGTCTCCTGTCTCAAGGGAAGACGTGGCTGGAATCTGCTGTAGTGGAGCACATTGGGATCTGCTTCCCCAACCGCTTCCCTCAGCAGATGCTGAAAAACTTGAGTGAGATGGAGGAGCAGCAGCAACAGTTTCATCTTTTCCAGTTGCAGCAGTTGGACAAGCAGCTGCTGGAACTAGATCAGCAAGAAAACCCTGAAGAGGCGATGGAAGAAAATGAGGTGAGCAGGAGGAAGAACAGATCTAAAGCAAAAGTAGACCTCTGATGTAAAAGTTTTTTTTGTCTTAAGTCTCTTTTGTCTGATTGATGCTGCCAAGAATGTCCTGTTGTTAGTCACAAAATTGATACTGGATCTGTTTTGCTCCCAGATGATGGAAGATAAACCATTTTCTCAGGAGCAAGAAGCAGAAGTGAAGGTATTGGCTTTGTCTCCACGTTGTTGGACCGTCTCTCCCCTCTGCTACCTGGAAGACCCTGCCAGATTTTTCCCATCCTCTCTCAGTCAGCAGCTGAGAAAATTTGCAGACTTCTATACCCAGAGTGAGTATGAGATGGTCCTGATTTGGTTAGGAAGCAACGTTCTTTATAGGTTCCACTGCATCCTGGTGTAGTTGTTGGTAATCAAACCAAAAATACTTCACCCAGAGACATTATAATCAGGAAGGGTTTATAAACCTGGTAACTAGTAGTTTCAGATTTCTGCTAAAGAAATTTCAGTAGATTTTTAGAGAGGCCATCATAAATATTATCTCTGGAAGAACTGACCAATTATAGGACTAAGGAACATAGCCAGTTGACAAGGAAAAATCATATTTGGTTAGTGTAACTCTATTTTAGAAGTGAAAATTTCAATGTTTATAAAGTGCAAAGAGTTGCCTATGACCCTAAATTTCCAACGTGGAACATTGCCTGGCACTTGCCAAGCTTTTTGCCTACCTCATTTTTTGTTTAAGATTAGAGATGATTGGAGATTAAAAAATAAATAAATAGGAAATACAGTAGTGAGTTGCAAAGTGTTATTTGGCATAATGAGTACTTATAATAATGTTTCTAGTTCCAAAAAGATCCCAATGGTATTCTTAAAAAAAGAAATGGTGGATGGCTGCCACCAAATCCTTTGCTAACATTTTTATGAAAATGATGATAACATGCTTTCAGCATTCTATATGTGCCAATGAGTTAAAAAAAAGATTGGGTACGCCTTCTTTGATCCTTTGAAAAATAAGTAACCAAGATTTTATGAAATAAGTGATTGAATTGTAAAATGTAAAGATTAGGACCATTTCATTTCTACTGAAAATGAACCATTTGATAATCCAGAATATACTTTCTATTTATTCCATTCTTTGTCCGATGACTCTGCATGTGTGCATATATATTCATGTATACACACTGTACTATTCCCTTTCAAACTAGGCAGAATTATGTGAAGCACAGAAGGCCATCAGAAAAATTAATGGCAAAATAAATTACACAAGAAAGAAGAAAAAGAAAAGACCACATTATTCAACAATACTTCTCCATACTTTTTTATACTTTATCCTTGCTTCCAATATATCCCTTCACTGCTTCGTACATGTTTTTTAATATGTTTTTAGTTTTTTCACTTCTTTTTGAGAAACTTGGCAGATTCCATATTTTCTCAGGCTCAGAATGGGGGGCACACAAATCTAAAGGAGAAATGCTGCTCCAGAGGACAGCACTGCTGATTAGTGATAGTGAAGCTATGCTTTCTGCATCCCATCAGATGATGTTACTTTATTGGCTTATATGATTATTGTTCTCAGCTTAAGAAGGAGAGTTTGCAGTGTCTAAATAATTGCCATGCCTGGGACTGAGGGCTTATAGAAATGTCTTGGTGAGCTTTCAGTGTATTTCTCTCTCACTGAATTTTTCATCTCTTTTAGGCCGGAGCCATTTTGGGATGGAACATACAAAGCCACAGCGTTTACAGTGGACATGGTTGGGTCATGCTGAGCTAAAGTACCAGGGCTACATCCTGCAGGTGTCCACCCTGCAAATGTACATTCTTTTGTGCTTCAACCATGCCGAGGTCCTGACTACCTTGATTCTTATTTCATTGCTTCATATCTATGCTTAGTATTTATCCATCTGCTTTAGTTTTATTGACATTGATTAGGCTAGGAATTGAATAATAGTAGACAAAACTATTTATCCTCTCCATTCCTTTCCCCTGTTTCTGGCTTGTGGAAGGGAAAGCATTTTATTAAAAAATGGAAATGTTTTGTATTGAGGCATCAGTGATAGGGAATTCAGTCTGAACATGCTCTATTTGGATTTATGTTTAGTGCAGATATGTATAATTTGTCCTTTTCATAAGATAAGGATGTTTTCTCCCTGATTAGGGTGAGGGTGGTAGCATAAAGTTGGATCAATGACTTTTGTTTATCAACTTGTGTTCAGCCTGCCAGTTTGCCTGATTTAGGCTGGAGTTGGCTTAGGGGTTCTGTGGTCTGATATTTACTGGTGTTGCTTATAAAGACAGAATAAAAATCTGATAATTAAAAATAAAATAAAAAATAAATTTAAGCTGTATAGAATCTCTTTCAATGAGACAACCTCTTCTGAAAGAAAAAATAGTATCTTGACATTTTCTGCAGTGTTATAATCACAGCATGATCTGAAGTTATTCTGAACGGGATGATTGTGCTGGTGATTCTGGATTGATTGGTGATTCTGGATTGATTCTTGCTGCTCTGTCCTGGGAATCTATTGGTGATTCTGGATTGATTCTTGCTGCTCTGTCCTGGGAATCTATCAGCAGCTCTTCCCCTTATCAGTAGCACATATCCCTGTAAATGGGTTAGGATCTCAGAATGGAAGGGTTATTGAATTTGCAATATTCTTTATGGTAGGGGCTGAAGACTAGATGTCACAGCTTTCTTTTCTGTCTTTTTTTTCATATGTTCAGCTTTATTTCTTTCTTTTATTGTTTCAGGAAGTTTCTGTGGAGACACTATTAGAAGTCACCGGTCTCTCCCCTGTCCTCCTAAGCCACGCCCTGAAACCTCTGACAAAGGAGAATGGGATACTTACCCAGAGGCAGAGTAAGTAGAGAGGACATTCCTCTAAAAGGGGATACTGAGAGTTTGTAAAGTTGGCCTGAAAATTTGGATGGGATTATGACTTTTATTTAGTAGATTTATATCCCACCTTTCTTCTGGGAGCTCAGTGAGGCATACCGTGCACTTTTTCTTTCAGTTTTTCCTTACATGGCTGAAAGACAGTAGCTGGTCCAGTTACCCAGTGAGCTTGCACAGCTGACAGTGAACTGAAACCTGGGCCTTTCTGTCTTATTCTCTTCACAACAGAATCATTAAATAAACTCTCAGTTGATTTCATGGCTCGATGAAGAAGCCTCATTACAAATTCAGTGATGAAGTTAAAAGAATTTTCTTAGTCATGTGTCACAGAATACAGCTGAATTTAGAAAGGCAAAAAATATCTTAGCTCTGCTCAGTCCCTGTCTTCTTTGACCGCTAGGTCTTTTGAGGCTGAACGAGGGGACACTGAGCCAGCCATCCGGTCAGCGCCTGTGGCTCTTGCCCAAACAGATGTATTTGAATGTGGAAGAAAATGAGGGCTGTGCTCTGGAGAAGAAGAGGAATACCATTTGCTGTCTCCTTGTCCAGATCTTGAAGGCGGAGAAGGAGATGCATATTGACAACCTGGTATTTAAGGTATGGAATGCAAGGACTTAAGCCCCTTGCTGAGCTCAGCTGGCAGCCAAAAGGAAGGTCTGCTGCATTCATTCTTTCTACCGTGTTCAGGTGATTGATGCCTGCCAGAAACGAGAGTCTGCTGGTACCCAGAAATTTTTGAACTTTTGCTGTAGTAGCACAGATGTCTTCTCTTGCATCCTGCATCTGCTGAGCCAAGGTTACATCCAACGCCAGGAGGACAACCCACATATCTTGGAGTACAACTTGGCAGAGCCCACCACACCTCACCGAGGTCAAGCCCAACTCATTTTTCAAAACATTAAATGCCAAAAACCAAAGAAGGCTTCTGGGAAAGATACAACCAACAGGTAATGCTGTATTTTAATTTGCTGTGCCATATACACCAGAGAGTGAAAGCAATCCTTTGTTGTTGTTGTTCTTGTACTTGATAAGGCTTTTCTTGTCAGATTGGATACCTTTGGCCTTGACACAGAACAGGTTCTGATGGAGACGGTCCTCTTGCCTTTGGGACGTACAATGAATCAAGAAGAAGTTGAGTTGCTGATGACCCAAACAGTGGAGAAGGTGTCAGATACTCTAAGTGTGACTACAGATATAGCTCAACATCTGCTCATACACTGTAAGTGGAATGTGGATGTTCTGATTCAGCGATACACGGAAGACCAAGAGTCGATGCTGTTTTTCTCAGGGCTGCAAGTGCAAAATCCTCAGCCACCTTCAAGCCCTGTCAGCCACTGTCCAGTGTGTGTGAATCCTCTGAGTGAAACAGACGATCTGCCTCTTCTGTGTTGTATGCACTACTGCTGTAAGGTAAGAGCTTCTTTACTACTGTGATAATAGGTATTTGGGATGGGGTACAATTGCTTTCATTCTGTCATAGTAGTAGTGTGTTAGTCTGGCATCTTCCTTTGGAAGCCTGAAACATCTTGTATTTCATTCATCTTTGTGGATTGCTTTGGACTTTTTTCATATCCATGAAAGAACATTGTCAATCTATAGAGTTGGTTTCCATTCCTACTCAAATAATTAATAGCATTTTTATAGTCTATGATAAACTGCAGTTAAAATATTCCATATTTGTTTTCCTCTTCCTTCCTTCATTTTTTTTTTTAACTAGTCCTGCTGGAATGAATACTTGACTACTCGGATTGAACAAAATCTGATTCTGAATTGCACATGTCCCATTTCTGATTGCCCTGCACAGCCCACTACTGCCTTTATCCGCTCTATCATTTCCTCCAAAGAAGTCATTGCCAAGGTAAGCAGGGTAATTATAAAAAGCAGGCTTAGCCGATTGAAAAACTGACCAGTCCCCTCCAGAAAGAAATTTTGTTCTTATGAGTGGATACTTGCTATATTTTGAAGCTTGAGGGTTGTCATAGAAGGTTAAGCTGTTAATCCATTATGCTAGGTATGCTTAATTTCACATTAGTAGAGACTCCCTTGCTGTACATGACTACCGGTAGTTGTTGCTTAACGCCCAGAATTGGGCTCAGAATTTTGGACCTGACTTGATTTTATGACCATTTGTATGATGATTGTTAACTGAATCACCATGGACATTTAAGAAATCCAGCACATCCAATGGGAAAGTGGCAAAAAATATTGCAAGTTGCAATCACAGAACTCTGGGATGCTGCAACTAGTCATAAATGTAAGTCTGCTGTCAAGAACCTGAAATGTGGTCACTTGATCATAGGGGGAGGGGGAGAGAGGAGGAGGGCATGACAGAATGTTTTACAGTAGCCAAAAATGATATATGGGCTGTAAAGCTCCCTTTCTGAGACCCTCGTAACTTCAGAAGGTTGTTATGTGACCAGTCATTAAGTGAGGATTATCTGCAGCATTTTTTTTTTTAAAAAAAATCTTCTTAAAATAATTGGAGCAATTTGCTCTGAAGATGTCTCCTTGTGCAGTGAGTATTAATGGAATCTAAAGAGTACTTGGTCAAAGTACTTGGTATATGACGTTGTAGAAATATACGAAACAAAGTAAAAGATAAAAAAAATGTTTTGTTTTTTTATCCATATGTACTGGTTTGCATACTGTTGTACTTTCTCTCTCTCTCTCTCTCTCTCTCTCTCTCTTGTATATTATGTTATAGTTTGAATAAAAAAAAATAGAGATCTAGATATAATCCCCTAAAATATATTACTGGAGGGTGCGTGTCTATTTTTCCAGCACTTCTTGACTTCAGAAACAGTGTATTTGTTAGTTTTCCAGGCGGAAAGCTAGTGAACGTAATGCTTCTGAATGTTAGAAAGAGGCTTTTTCTAGCCTTCGAAGCAACTACATGAAGAACACCAGCCCTCATGAAGTTTCTAAAAGCAAGAAAGGCTGGACTATTGCAATGTGCTCTACATAACACTAAACCTGGAAAGTATAATTGGTTCCAGAATGTGGTAGTTTACACAGTTAGACACCTCCTCGGTTCACCCATGTTACATAACTGCTATTAGAGTTGTACTGGCTCTCAGATTCTTTCCTGGTGCAATTCAGGGTGCTGGTTACTACCTTTAAAGCCATACACGGCAGAGGACAAAGTTATATGCAGGTCTACTCTCTTTGAGGTTATCTATATCAGTGATGGCGAACCTTTTAGAGACCGAGTGCCCAAACCGCAACCCCAAACCCACTTATTTATCACAAAGTGCCATCAGCATTGTGGTGCCGCATCAGCACTGTGGTGCTCTGGGAGGGGGCAGGGAGGCACCTCTGAGTGCTGCCTCTGGCACGCAAAAACAGGGGGTACAAAAATGGGCCACCGTACTGCAAGGAGCAAAAACGGCCGCCACCACGCTGCGGGGTGCAGATACAAGGTGCTGCACCACGCAAAAACGGGGCAGGGCTAGTGAGTATCACGCAGGCACTAACCCCACCCCATTTGCAGCACGTGTGTGCTCACGGCCCTGTGCACGCATGCACACATGTAAAATGCTTCCCCCTCCCTTTTCTTCCAGTCCACCAATCGACAGTGGTCGGTAACCTCTGCTCGATCACCTCTACTCGAGCTTGCTAGTCGGTCGCTTCGCCTCCTTTGTGCTGGGCAGGGCTCCTGCTCCGGGCGGCGGTGGCGGCCTGATGGACCTGCTGCCGGCGGCAGTGGCGCGTGTGCCAACAGAGAGGGCTCTGAGTGCCACCTCTGGCACGCATGCCATAGGTTCGCCACCACTGATCTACATGCTTTGCCAGGCTCGGCAGGCTGGGCTTGCTCTGAGTCTTGTCCCTTAAAGGTTGCCATCTAATGGATCCTACAAAGCATGTTTTTAATAGCAGCCCCTCCCCTATGGAATTTTCTTCCCCCGGGATCTGGCAGGTTCCCATCCTTTTAGTTCTCTGAAAGCTGAAAAGGTTTGGCTTTCCCCCTAAAGGCTGGGATAAGGTGAGGCTGTAGCCTGAGGATTGCATGGTTTGCTATATTGGGGATTGTAGGTCAGATCCCTGTTTTTCTTGGTTTTGATTTTACTATTGCTGTGAGCCACCTAGAGTTGTGTTTTGTGATACATGGACAAAATATAATCTATCTATACATGTACACAAACAAGATCCCTTCTACCATGTTATGCATTAATTTGTAAATCTCATTTATATTTAACAGACATCCCGTTTTAAGAGAAACCACTTCCCCCCTCAATCTGTTAAATCAATTTAAGTCATTATATTAATTCTGAGTGTGCGTCATTTCCATGTTAATCTGTCCATATTTTTAAAATGGATTTAAAAGTAACGTGTTAATTACATCTGAAATGTTAGGATTTAAAATTTCCCAAAGGGATAAAAGCTTGTCCAGTAGTATAACCTTGTTACAGAATTCCATTTATTTGGGAGGCATGACTGGTTTCAATTTTGCTGCCTTTTAGATAACTTATAGTATCTTAATTGAAATACTTTTGGATCAAATCCATCCAAAGAAATAAGATAAGAAGAAGTAAGATAATATTTAGCATTTAAAATCCACATGCAAGGGCGATAACAGTACATAAAGGGTCTCAGCTAGTATTAAAAGTATTAGAAATACTTATTCATTAAGACATTTAAAAGCAATAATAATATGCTTTTTATTACTCTTTTAACTAAACCTTCTAATTCAGTAAATCCCAAACCTGGGAAAATTACCCAAAATTGGATAAAATTGGATAAAAGTGGTAATGACACACAAACCCATTCCCAATCACAATAAAGACATTTAAATAAGGAGTTTCTGATAAATGGTTTTGGGTAACGAAGGAAAAGGTTTAGGAAGCACTGTTCTAATTGGTTTTGCTGACTGTTTCATTTATAACATTTTATCCATCTATCCTCTTCAGAAAATGATGTAACTTAATATATTATTTAATTGAGAAAATATTATTAGATTAGATTATGAAGGGATAAGTCTCATTTCAAGAAATTCTTAGGGAATAAGGTAGTTTATTTTTGCATCCAACATTAGTAAATATTCTGCTACTTCTTTTAGGATTAAGGTGCTATCCTAAATAGAATTATCTTTAAAAAGAAAAAAGAAACCTGTTGAAAAACCTGCTTTGTTTGTTAAGAGGTTTATAATATGCATATAACATAAATATGTCCTCGATATTTTTAATGAGAACTCCAAAGCTAACATTCATGCATTTTTTTTTAATGCAGTATGAGAAAGCCCTTCTAAGAGGTTATGTTGAATGCTGTTCAAACCTCACTTGGTGCACCAACCCTCAGGGCTGTGATCAGATACTCTGCAAGGAAGGCCTTTGCTATGGAGAAGCTTGTTCAAAGTGCTCTTGGATCTCCTGCTTCAGCTGCAATTTTCCTGAAGTAAGGCTACGGGTCTGGATGGGGAGGAACAGACTCAGGCTCAACCCTTCCAAGACCGAGTGGCTGTGGTTGCCAGCGCCTCGGCATAGTCAGCTGACACCATCGCTGACTATAGGGGGCGAAACTTTGGCCCCCTCGGAGAGGGCGCGCAACTTGGGAGTCCTCCTGGATTCGCGGCTGGCACTGGATGACCATTTGTCGGCCGT